GAAGATCAGGAAACTACAATGGTTTGTTGAGGTTGGAGCATATGGTTTGGGGGTGTCATGGCTTGAGATGAAGGTGAGAGATAGAGCGGGGCCTCATAGGCTAGGCTAAAGAACTTGCTCTTTTCTCTGCTTGCAATGGGAGACATTCGGGGGTTTTAGGCAAAGCTTGGTCACAGTCAGATTTCCATTTTAGAATATCACTCTGACAGCAACACAGAGGGTGACTCGCTCAGAGCTAATACCCAGGAGCAAGAAGACTAGTGAGAAACCCCTGCAATTCTTCTTCATTGACTACATCCAGATGGAAATGAGGTATATGCAGTTAAGGGCTACAGATCACTCAAGACACTAATGTAGACAAGTCTACATGTGTAGGTGGGGAGATAAATGTGAGAATATTGAAGTAGTAATAAAGGATATGGTAAGGAAGCAGAAGATGTGGGAAAAGACAAGCAAAATCAAAGGACTTGATCTTTTACAAAAGGGAAGTTCCTTGGACAACTAAGATTTCTGACTTGAATAGTCATCACTGAGATGAGGAATACAGAAGGAGCAGGTGTGAGAGTAGGGGAGGAGGGATGGCCGAGATGATAACCTCAAGGATTGAGTTTGAGGGACTGGATGTGAACAGTTGGGAGTTGGATGTGGGGGTCTGGAGGTTAAAGGAGAGATTGAGGTTGAAAATGTAGATCTGCAAGTTATCACTTATGTAGGTTGTATAGATGATGAGAGTAAAGGAAATCATGTAGGCTGAATGTCCAAAGATCAGTGGTTTGTTTGGGCATTCATTGGGAAGGGGAAACCTGGGAAGTAGCAGACTAATTAGGTGAGAAGCACAGCTTAGACCTCAGGAGTGCAAGCAAGCAAGTACCTGGCTTGAACTTGCCATACTTTAGTACATCTCTAATTCATGAGTGCACATCTTACATCTTATATGGTTAGGAGTGACTTCAGGACCTAACTCCATCACCATGGAATGGGACTCGACTAATCGAATAATTCTGTAACAGCCATAGATGGGGCCAAGTTAGGGACCGAGTCCAGGGTTCTCCTCTGATGGAACACAAATGTGAACGTGCTGATGCTGATGTCTGGTTGCATATGTTAACAACTGGCTCTTATCAAGCTTTAACTCAATAAGGAGTTTCCCCATGGAAAATACGAATACAGCACAGACGGGAAATACTGTTTTCCCACTATTGCCAGTTCCTACACCAGTACTCTCTTGTCTGTGTGGCTCAAAGCCAAGACATGCCATTGCCTCATCCCCTAGATCTGTTTAGTCCCAAGTCTGATAAATTACGGTTGTTATATTTGTCCTCTTCTTTCCATTCTGATTGAAACAGCCTAAGCTAGTGTAAGCTTGTTAGTCTATCCATTCCCACCACATTCTGGGTGAATGTAGCATCCTTCTAAGACATTTAATGATATTTTCATCCACAGGTCAGAAAACTCTGACCATAGGCTCAATCTGGCCTACCATCTGTGTTTGTAAATAAAGATTTATTTTTTAGAACACAGCCTACACATTCATTTATATATTGTCTAAGGCTGTTTCACATGGCAATGGCAGCATTGAGTTATTGCAATAGACACCGTTTTTCCTGCAAAACCTAACATATTTACTGTTTGGCCCTTTAAAGGAAAAGTATCCCAACCCCTATTAATCTGTCCTATACACCAGTGCCAGATTCATGTTCAAAAAATGTCATTTCACTATATCACTCTCTAGCTTAGAACCCTACAATGCATTAATTGGCCATACACTAACGTTCCAACTTGCTGTCCTGACATCCAAGGCCCTCAGTGATCTAGTCCTGGCCAGACTTTTGAATCATTCCTCTCTACTTCTAAAGGCAAACCTGACTTCCCACTTATATTTCCTTGTTCATTGTCCCTGGAATCTGAAGTGCATTTCTGCCCTCATTTGCACTGTTCTCTTTGCCTGGAATACACCTCCCATTAATCTGTATCTACTTAATTCCTATCTATTCTTTAAAAACTAACTTAAATCTGCCGCTTTCATAATTATATATGTTCCCAGTGGCCATCAGTGAATCAACTGCTCAAGATATAAAGATTCGCTACCCAAAACATCTGGTAATATGTGTTCTGTTCAAGACATGAGTCACCAATATGATGGTGGGCTACGGTGGAGTGAGCACTTTCTTATGGATAGCTTAGGAAAGGTTTGCAAATGACCAAGTAATTAGAACATTGGCTTAGTCCATACTGTAGACTGGGTAGCTTATCAACAACAGACATTTATTCTTCACAGCTCTGGAGGATGGGAAGTCCAAGATCAAGGTCTAGCAGATTCAGTCTCTGGTTGGGGCTGGCTTCCTGGTTCACAGGTAGTGTCTTTTTGCTGTGTCTCCACAGAGAGCAAGGCGCCAAAGAACTCACTGAGGTCTCTTTTAGAAGAGCACTAATGAGCTTCATGCTCATGACCCAATCACCTCCCAAAGGCCCCACCTCCTAATATTATCAGATTGGGATTTGGGTTTCAACATATGAATTTTGGGGAGGATACAAATATTCAGTCTGTAACAAACACACAACCTTCAACAAACATTTATGGAATTATTGAGTCATCAGCATCTTATATTCTTGACATACTATATCTTGGCTCTGTATTTAAATGTAGGACCATCCATATCCTGATAGTCGATGAGAATGAATGATAAAAGTCCAGTAAACCTGCTCTGGAGGAATCCTAGACTGTAAAGACAGTGGCTGGTCCTGGAGGTCCTTGCTTTTTCATGTGGTAACTCTGAGTAGCTGGGCAGGTAGACTTTCCTCACCTGGCCTCACTTTTCTTGCCTACTGTCATATATTAGGTGTTCTTGGACATATCCTGGGATTAAACAGCATCAATGATGCACCATTGATTAGACTTTTTTGGTAAATAGTAAGTTTTTAAAATATTCTTGGGCCTCACAGTGTCTCTGACTTGGATATGTCCCAGAAATATTACAAGATATTTCTTAAGATCTGGGCATTGCACCGGGAACTTGGTTATAACAAGTTATTGCTATGTGGATTTGAATAGCAGCGGTGTGAGCACATACCCAGAAACATAGCAACTACATAAAATAAAAGCTTCTGTTAACACAGAGGACAGCAGCCAGCCTTCTCTGTTATTGTCTTCGGGATTTGGCTGTCATGTCGTAAGATGCCATTTTGTCTGGTCTAACAGGCGTCTCCCTGCATATGTGAGTACGGCAAAATAATTCAGGACAGTAGCTGTCTCGGCACATTGGAAGGAAAACATGGGACAAGTAAGCTAGCATAAGGGAAAGCCTTTCTGATCTTAAATTAATCACATCCATGTGCTGTTTATTTTTTTTTTAATTTTCAGTTACATTGGACATACAATATTATATGTTTCAGGTGTACAACTTAGTGACTAGGCCTTTCTATAACTTACGAAGTGATCACTGTACTCATCTGAAACCATACATAGTTGTTGCAATATTATTGGCTATATTCCCTGTGCTGTACTTGACCTGACTACTTTTGTAACTGACAGTTTGCACATCTTAATCCTTTCCTTTTTTCACCCACTGCTTCCCAACCTCCCCTCTCTTCTGGCAACTGTCAAAGCGGTCTCTGTATCTATATGTCTGTTTCTGTTCTGTTTGTCCATTTGTTTTGTTTCTCAGATTCCACATATAAGTGAAATCCTATGGTATTTGTCTTTGTCTGACTTATTTTACTTAGCACAATATCCTTTAGGTCCATCACAAATGTCAGGGTTTCATTCTTTTTATGGCTGAGTAATATTCCAATATATCTTCTTTACCCATTTGTCTACGAATAGATATTTTGGTTGCTTCCATATCTTAACTATTACAAATAATGCTGCAATGAACATGGGGATGCAGATGCATTTTTGAATTAGTGTTTTGGGTTTCTTGGATAAATGCCCAGTCATATGATAATTATTGGTTACATTTGCAGAGTATGGAGAAGAAAAGTCTTAAGTGTGCACTCCAATAGAAAGGGTATGCTGTGAATACAAGGGAAATACACCCCTAAAAAAAAACCAAAACCAATTTTCAGGCTTTCCTTAAAAGTAGTATGTGCCAATAAGAATAATAGCAAATAACATTTATTGAGTGTTTACTATGTGCCAGGCATTGTTCTAAGTCCTTTACATGTATTATCTCAGTTAACACATGCCTCAACCATATGCTTTGAGTACTATTATCGTCTCTTCTTTATGTAAGAGAAGACTTAGACCTAGGAGGTAAAAGGACTTGCCAGAGGTGAGCAAATTGTTTGCAAATGGTAGAGCCAGGAGTTGAATGCAGGCAGACCAACCCCAGAGTTCATATTTATCAGAACCTCGGCGAGCCCCACCCACATGAGATGCCCCCGCCCCCACAAGGCTAGTTTAAGAAAGAGCACACACCTAGTTTGCATCATTGGGTAAGTCCAACGGGATGACTTGTCCTACGACATTTGAAATTACCTTGTATGATAAGTGTATTGGATTTCGATCAAAGAACTCTACCCTAGAACTCCCACTGTGTTTTTTTTTTCTATCCTATTTGCAGTTTATAACAGCCTCTGTGTTTTTTATCAAGACATTTTAATTCTTTGTCTCCAAATGAACACTGCACAGAACATGAGTGTGTGTGTGTGTGTGTGTGTGTGTATGTGTGTGTGAGTGTGTGTGTGTGTGTGTGTGTGTGTGTCTAGAAGCCACCTTTTCTCCTGGATTAAATTGTTACAGCTTGGCTGAGGGAGGAGAATTGCTCCCACTCACTGAGCCCACAGCAGACATGTTCGGGGAAGGCTGCTATTTGCAGCACACCCAGCGACGGAGGGGCAGGTGACCGTGCGTGTATGCCCAGCCAGCATCTCTGCAAGTGTCTGTACAGATGTGCGCTGCTGCTGCTGCTGCCGCTGCTGCTGCTGCTGCCTGCTTTCCAGTTTCCTGGAGCCAACACCCACCCTCTCTCACAGCCTCTCTCTCTCTCTTTATTTTCAAGGAGAAAAGAAAGAGGCAGACTGAAATAGAAGGCAAGCGACAGGAGCTCGACGAGCAGATACTTCTGCTGCAGCACTGCAAGGTAAGCGGCCGAGCCACGAGCCCCTTCCCTGATTAGACACGCCACTCGCCCCGCAGAGAGCTGGGCAGAGCCGCCTCGGGCGGGCGGCATCAAGGCGCTGCCGCTGGCTGAACGAGCTCTTTCATTCAGCCAGGAAACCATCACTGGGCTCTTCCTGGGAATTTCTCCAAGCCAGGGCATTGTGACAGCATCCCCGGGTCTGAAAGCAGGATGCGATGAGAGCGTGCTTGTGGACAGGTCGGGGGAGTGTGCCTGTGCAATGCAGCGGTTATATATAGAAGCCAGGAGAGAATTTCCCCAGGGCGGCCGAGGGCGTGCGCCGGGCTGTGTCTCCGGTGCACAGGTGCTAAGTGTGTTTGTTCAAGGTTTTCAGAGATATCTTTAACAGAATGGTCTTTTTTAAAAAAAAATTTTTTTTAAATATTAGCAACTTTCCTTCTTGCTGTGGAGAAAAGGAAGATAACAGCAGAGTGCTGAGCAGCCCAGTGAATTTCAGATTATTCATTTCCCCAACCCCCTACTTTAGCAATTTGGAAAGTGTTATATTAAAACAGGCAATTGGTCAAACGACAGCATTTAAATGATTTGACTTGGTTGGGTCTCCATGGCACAGAGGTAGAGAGGGGTGTGGGGTGGGAAGGGAGCAGGCGCTGTTTACTTATTTCTTTTTCTTGAAAACACCATGCACTTAAGCATCATAATTGATTGCCGCCCAGGAGAAAGCTCTGTCACTGTCACAGGCTCCCTGCTTGCTGGATGTTGCTCTCTGCAGGCTCAGGGGCAGGCTCAGGGCAGCGTGAGCACCTTCCTGGCCGGCCAGGACCTGTCGCTGGCCCACCCTGCTCAGGGCTTCCGGAGGCAGAGCTCCTGCCACCTCTTTGCACGTGCAGAAGCGCAGCGCTCAGAGGGCTGCTCGGGAGGGTGGGGCTGCCTGGCAGGGGGTCGCTAGCTCTGGACCCTTTGAGGAATGTTCATGGTGGGAGGACCTTCATGGTGGCATGTCTCATTCTTCTCTGGAAGACAGGATGGAGCTAAATGAGTCCTCAGAATGTAAATCCTCAGCAAGCCGGCTGCTGATCTCAAATAGCAACACGACCTAAATCTGCTTCGTGTATTCACCCGCTACCATTAGCTGTAAGCAGAGGGATGAGTTGAAAAGGAAGAAAAGCAGCGTGATACCTAGGACAGTGCCCCTTTCTCTCTGCTCGTCCTGTACATCCATGTATGGACCTTCCTTTGTAGGAGCTTGCAGTATGTCCCATATGCTGTTGCTCCTTCCTTAGAATATTCCTGGGGGAAGATGGAGGGCTAAAGTTAGCCTCCTCTCCTGACAGAGAGGAGGGCTGAGGAACGCTTAATAGAACCAGGTGAATTGTTCAAGGTCACTCTGGACAGAGCTGGGTCTCTGGCTCAGTGTACAGTCAACTCCTTATTTAAAAAATGCAAAATATACTAAAATCTGTAGAATTCTTGGTTAAAGATGAACTTGTTAATTAGAGGACAGAAAGATGAGAGGCTGGTTTGTTTTTTTTTTACTAGACAGCCAGCCTCTCTCCTTTTTAAGGTCAATGTGATTTTTTTTTTTTTTTGCCTTTGCATTCTTTGAATCGGAAGTCAGACAATCTGCATATGTGAGAATATCAAATTTCTTTTGTCTAACTTATCATCATCATCATTCTAGAATAATGATCCAACGACTCATTTATTACTAACGTCCAGCACAGTGTGACAACATTCTCTTCCTATGCCACGTATCCATTTTTCATCCATCCCCTCATTCTTCCTTCCTCCCTCCCTCCCTCCATCCATGTCCCTATCTGTTCATGTTTCCATTCATCCATCCATCCATTCAACAGAAACAGCAGTTAAAATGACTTACTATGGGCAAACAGTAAGATTCCTTCAAGTACTTGGAAACAAGGGAATCGGATAGTTCTTAATGGTTATCCTGGTAAAAATGCTCATTTTCACTGGCTGGCTAAGGAAACAACCCACCCTTTCACCAAGGTAACCTTGTCATAATCTGGAGGCGAGAGGACTGGAAATGATGGCAATTTAATACGTGGAGACCAGTGCATTTTTCTGGCCCTGGGGAAGACCTGTGTAGACAGAATGAGACGGATTGCTAGCCTTGAACAATGAGAAAGGACATCTCAGAGGACCGAAGGAGGTTATGTGGCCCCTGGAGAGAGACCCCAGCCCTGGGAGGTACCAGTTTCATTGCATTGGTGAGGCGGGGTCTGCCCTTAGGCAAGGAGCGTCCATTAGTGACTCAGGAGAAACTTCCCTCACCACTCCTCCCCCAGTTTGTTCTGGCTTCCCCCGCCCCCAGACAATTGAGTTATTTTCATCTAAGGAAGGTGGTGCCTGACTGAGAGATATGATCACTTCAGGCACCAGAGAGAGAAATGTTCTCCTTCAGATCAGCTAACTGTTGACTCAACTTGAGGAGCGTGAGTCACCCTCCCTGTGATGATTCCATTTCGAGCTTGGCAGCCTCACTCCGAGGTGTGAGCATTCATGGAGGTGGTACTTGCTCTGTGAGTCTTTTGGCGGAGACTCAGCCAGTGTTCTCCTGGCAGCAAATAGCCTTGTCATCCTCTTGTCTCTTCTCAATAATAGTCTTTTCTTTTTTTTCTTTTTTATTGAGTCCCTGTTAGGCGGTTGTTACTTTAACTATGTCACCTCATTAATGACCACAAAGTAGATATTACTCTCCTTGTCTTACAAGCAAAAAAACAAATTTGTGAGACCAAGTGATTTGTTCCAAAACTTAAAGACTGTAAATGTGAGTGCCGGGCTGTCTGCCTCTATAATCTTGCTTTCTCCTAGACACTGATTTTTTTTTTTAAATGAAATGTGTCCTTTTGAATAATTTGTCTAGATGCCGACTAGCATCATCACATGTATTTACCATCATTACCATCCCATGTCTCTCTACTCTAAGTACATGATCATGGACTCCAGAAAATTTAGACCATGTGGAGACATACCACAGTAGTTATTGGAAGTTCCTTAACGTAGATAATATCAGGAAATATGTTAGTAATTAAGATTCATTTCACCAACTTACAAAACCCCAGATGTTCCCTAAGAAATATGTACTCTCGGTGCAAAGTTAAATTAAACAGAAGAACAATAGAATTGGATTTCATGTTTATTAAGTTATAATTCTCATGATCAAATAATCTGTGGATACTTATTCTCATGCAGTGAGATGAATTATTTAGACAAATTCATGCATCTCTTGTAAAAGTAAATAAGTAGAATACAAGACAGTAGTTTTGATACTGGTATGTTTCATTAATATGTTTGCTAATTATAGAATTTAGGGCTATACAGTGAATAACTCCACAAAATAGAATATCATTACTTTATATATGGACAATGAACAAATGTGAGAATGCAATGAAGAACCAAAGTATAAAATGCTGAAATATTAGCGGCTATAGCCCAGTAACTAAGATACCTCCAGGTACTTTAAAGTCCTGGAAAAATTAAACTAAGACTTCTCTTTACAAGATCCTTATCTATATTTAGTATCTACTATGTGTGATGTAAGAATTTCCCCCAAAAAATACTCCCATATGGGGCCAGTAAGCAGTTTTAACAGCTGTATTATTTTTGCTGATTATAAAAGGAAGGAATGTATAATCATTGCTAAAGTGAGATTTAAAAGTACAGGAAAATATAAAAAAAGAACATAACTATATACTCACCACCCACATATAACCCACACAAGTATATCCTTCTATGCTTTCTCCCCCCAATATATTTTATTAAATTAAGATATATTCTTCTTGTTCACATGCCTCATCAGCCTGTAAATAAAATAATATTAACATTTGTATCTAAAATACATTGACCTTGACCTCTTTTATAAATTTTTGAATATGGGTTCTTTCAAATTTTTATACAAAACGTCATAATTTTAGGAAATCCCATTACATTCTTTTAATATTATGATTTCTGGTTTTGATATTAGCCTTGGAATGAATATCTCCATTTCAGACACGTACCTATGATGTTTCTTCAACTTCAATCATTTCGATCCAGTTAGGATTAAGAATTTATTTTTCTGTAAGGTGTGAGGTAGGAATAACGTTACTTTTTACTGATGGTGAGCTAGTTGTCTCAACATGATTGATCAATTAATTCATTCTTTCCCTCACTGATTTAAAAGTCTTGATTGCACACATATTTTTCACGTATCCTCGGGTCCACCATCATTCTGCCATTCCTGTGCCAATACCATCCTCCTTTAATCCCTCTAGGTTTTTTAATATATTAGAATATATCTCATAAGGCAAGAGCTATTCTTCTTTCGAAAAATTGTCTTGGCTTCTTACTCCATGGAAACGATTCTTTATTTTTATTGTTTTTTATTATGTGGCTGGTGATAATGTGAGTTTTTTTAAAAAAATAAATCAACTGTTGTATTCTGTCAGAACAGATTGAATGTAATATCCCCTTTGCCTCTTGGTTGGATTGCCAGAGATTTGTCTCTTTTATTGGTCGGTTCAAGGTCCCAGCACAGTGCGTATTGCCACATGAACTCCTTTGGGACTGTCACACTTACAAAGGTTTGTGTGCCAAGTCAGCACTGTCACCATCAAATTGCTAATATCACCTCCAATACATAAGCTGCGTTTGAATTATTTATCCATGAGCAGAAGACCCTGCCTGGAGTTTCCCTCTAATCCAAGCTAGGAACAGTGTCATTATGTTTTTAAAACCACAGCTTTTTCTTTCAAGACTTGAATCGGTGGGGGGGGGGGGGGATCAAAAACTGAATTGTGACACTGAGAACTATTTATTGTCAGCCCACCAAGGTCACTTGCTGCATAGCCTGGGGGTATCAGGAGGCTCGCTGCAGAGATATTGTACTTTGTCCCCCTTTTATGAGCCTTCAGCACTCATTTTAGACTTTCCTCGGTTATTAGTGTGTGTGAAAGGCCAGTTTCAAATTGTAGAACATTGAACAGACAGCAGGGTACACACGGCGTAAAGGAACTTCACGTCTCATCATTTTTACAGGTTGTCCCCTGTAAACCGCTTGAGTAGAAGTTCATTAAGACTCGGTTTCTTCTACCAGAAGTCTTGGTTGGCTTCTGTGTGGACTGACTCAGTTAACAAAACCTCTAAACTGGTCAGCGGGGAGGAAGGGAAGGAGACTGGAGGGGGCACACGGATGAATGAGAAAACAAGCCCACCTGTTTCCTACTTCATGTTTAATCCTTTTTCTATTCAAGTGACTCAGATTCTACCCATCATCCACTAACACAATGTCAGTTACAGGCGAAGGAGAGATTGGGAGTAAAAGCATAAGAAGAAATCACAGTTAAACATTTCATAGCCTTTGGATAAGGAAGTCTTATCTATGTATTACACCAAAGCCAGAACTATACAGTAAAAATGTTACTGCATGTGACTATATAAAAATTACAAATTAAAAAAAAAAATTGGAACCTTACTAGTTTTAATTCACCTCCCAGTGCCCATTCACCACCCATCCCAGACACTCCTCACCAGTGACCTAGGTCACCTTTGAAAGATGCTTAACCTCGGATATCTTATCTGTAGATGAAAAGGATTTGACTAATGATATTATACACTTTAAATAAATACAATTTTACATGTCAATTATACTTCAATAAAGCTGTGGAGGGCGGAGTTTGATCATATGATTCCTAAGGCATTTTTTAATAGTCTAAGATTCATTGATTCATTCATTCATTCAGTGTCTATTGATTATTGCAAGTGGATGAATAAAAGATACAGCCCCTTGGCCAAAACCGGTTTGGCTCAGTGGATAGAGCATCTGTCTGCGGACTGAAAGGTCCTGGGTTCGATTCCGGTCAAGGGCACGTACCTTGGTTGCGGGCACATCTCCAATAGGGGGTGTGCCAGAGGCAGCTGATCAATGATTCTCTCTCATCAATGTTTCTAACTCTCTATACCTCTCTCTTCCTCTCTGTAAAAAATCAATAAAATATATATTTTTTTAAAAAAAAGAAATCACTTAAAAAAAAGAAAAAAAAGAAAAAGATACAGCCCCTGAATATAAGGGGCTGGGGGATGAGTGGGAGACAGCACCAATAGGGAACCCACTGTTAGACAAGCTGGGAGATAGTTACCCACATTCAGGCGTAGGTCAGCGATGCGTGATGATGTTGTAAATCCTCTTTGCGGGGAAATGACTCTTGAGTAGAAGCAGGATAGCAGAATGCATTGTTTAGCTTTAACTCTTAGATGCACACCCTGCTACATGTGTGACCATGGACAAGGTTCTGAATTAGCACCTACTTCTTTGAACTTTTGTAGAGGTTTAATGAATCTGTATGTAAAGCATTTAAAGCAGTGAGAGTTCTGTAAGAATCATCATCATCATCCATCATCATCGTCCCCCAATACCATGGCTTCAGATATCATGTAAGGACACCACTCATATTGGCGCAGGGCATATCCCACTGATTTCACTTAACCTGAAAGGCCCTGTTTCCAAATGCAGCCACATTGCATGGTAGTGGGGGTTAGGAATGCAACATATGAATGTGGGGTGCAATTCAGCACAGAAGTGAGGGCAGCATAGTAAACAAACTATTCTGTGAGTTTTTACACGTAACTTGATAATATTTAAAAATGCTCCATACATTTCTAAATACTTATGTTTGTATTCTTCTTGGCAGTAGTTGAAAACTATTTATGTGCAGGAAATATGTTACCCATGAGTGCTGTGTAATTATTGAAGTATATTGGAGTGAGGGATTGGTTCCTGTTAACAGTCACTTCAGCAGCACAATTAGGAATGCCTTACACATGAACAGACTCGTGTCTTTAATTACTGGAAAGCTACAGGTCAAGTGTTATAAATATGCTTCTCTGTGCACTTGAAGAGTAAGCAAACAGATATCCACCAACAATGACTTCGCTTTAAAAAGCAAGAACACCAAGGAAAACCTTGGCTCTCCGGCCACCACCCTGATACAGCATTGCTAATAAAAGGGCCTTCTGCAAGGATGGATTTCCAGCCATCAGCACTTGCTCATGGGCACCCGGCAGCGTCTCCAGGGTGCTGAATGGCTGCTGGACTTCTCGGTGGGATGGTGAATCAGAACCACTAGTGAAATGTAAATTCACTGTTACTAAATATTAGTGCTATGTAGTATCTCATCTTATAGGTTCATAACAAGTAGCCCTTAATCCTACATAAAAATGGGAGTCTAGCCCCGCCGGTGTGGCTAAGTGGTTGAGGGTAGACCTATGAAACAGGAGGTCATGGTTTGATTCCTGGTCAGGACACTCAGGTTGCAGCTCAATCCCCAGAGGGGGGTGTGGAGGTAGCAGACGATCAATGATTCTTTCTTATCATTAATATCTCTCTCTCTCCCCCTTCCTCTCTGAAATCAATAAAAATATATTTTAAAAATAAATTAATTTAAAACTTGAATTGTATATCTTTTCTCATAAGAACAATAGAAAGGAAACTGCAGTGAGCATGAATTTTGTGTCCTCAACCTTAGAGACATAGCTCACTCCCTCATTTCTGGAAATGATATTTAATTGGCTCCGAGTAATACGTGACCTGGCTCTTAATCAGTATGAGTGCACCCTTTCCTTGAACCTTGCTCACCCTGTGTAAGAGGTTAAATGAGATTCTAATACAGGTGCTGTCAGGGAGCCAAGGAACTCCATGCTTATGCTGTGTCGACAGGCTTTGTAGCTGTTGTCCCTGTTGTTGGGAAGAGCTGGTCATTTGCCCTGCCTCAGGCAGATGTGGCCATGCATCCTCACTGTGGTCCATTCCTATGACCACCCACCTATCCACTGGGACACTCAGCCTCAGTGCCTCGGGCCAGCTTCTGCAGACATCCAATAGCTGCCAGCTGCCATCTAGGGTCAATGCAATGGAAACCCAAACCAAAAACTATGTTACCTGCCTTCTTCATCTTGCTCTTCATTTTAGGGAGTTGCAACATGCCTTTTTCTTGAGCTGTTTTCCTTTTTCCTTCTCAAAGCAGTAATCATCTTTCCCAAGAACTGACCTGAAACACAAAAACTTTTCATTTCACTCCAGGATGTATTAGGACACTGGCACATGGTGTGTGTGTGTGTGATTTTAATGTCACTTGGAGACCATTTCTGAGAATGGGTGGGAGTATTAAAGAGTTTTTAAGAAAAGGAATGGCATAGATTAATCTTTTAAAAAGACTTTTAGATGGACTGAATATTGGGTGATTTTAGGAAATGTTATAATGCAACCACAATTCATAATTTCTTTTTTTAAACAAGAAATTCATGCTGAAATATGTGTGTGTGAAATATCATGATGTTCCTTATATACTTTATAATGTTTTGGTGAAAAACATATGAGGAAAACATTTCAAAACGTTTATAATTGTTCAATCTAAATAAGGTTACACAGGCTTCATTTTACAGCTTTCTCTGTTTGCTTGCGTTTTTTGGTTTTTTTTTTAAGTTTTCAAAATGTTTTATAATAGAAATTTGGAAAGAAAACCCTCTCCGGGGATTGGGCAGGAGGGAAGTAAGGAGCCCGGTTAGTGAGGAGGTGAAAGCTGCTGTTCAGGGGGACGCTAGGGGCACAGCTAAAACGGAGGCTGTGGAGGGAGAGGTGCTGTGGTCTGAAAGGTGTCATCAGTCTGTTCTCTCCTCTCATCCCCAGTCCAAATTGCTTCGGGAAAAATGGCTGCTGCAGGGCATGCCGGCTGGAACTGCGGAAGAGGAGGAAGCCAGGAGGCTGCAGTCTGAGGAGGATGAATTCAGAGTCAAACAACTTGAAGATAACATTCAGAGGTAGGTGGTTTCCCCGCCCAGCGCCCCCACGCTGTGGTTTTACATTGCAGTGACCACTACTGTCCTCTAGGGGGCCTGCTCAATGCAATCGCCCTTCATCCAGCGATTTAGGATTATCTTCCTAAACAAGAGCACACTGATACCATTTAAACTTTTCCAGAGAATCCAGAGTTATACTCTCAGTAATAATTACGGTATTGGGCTGTCATACAGTTCAGTGATGTCTTCAGAAACCAATGACCTGTTGTAAGCAGCTTGTCCCTTCACCAAATGCCCCATTGTTTTTCTGTCAGCGTTTGTCTTTTCCTCCTTTGGCTAAAGCTGTTAGCTGTTATGGCTGCTATATAGTAGGTCTGTTTTCAATTGGCGCTATTTGATCAATCTGATGTGGGGAAACTGTAACTAAGGGGCTTGGGACTGAAATGAAGAGTGCGGGAGCCCCAAAGGAGGGCGCCCTATGGGTTAGGTGCATGCACTCCCAAAACCAACTGTGGATTGCCTGCTTCCACTGCTCAGAGGGTGAGCTGGCTCCTATATGGCCCTCAGCCAGGTTGGGAATATTCCAGGCTGGGAGATAAGTGCCTTCCGAGGGCCGAGGGCCGGCCAGGCTGATGCAGGAGCAGCCACGTAGGTTCCACGTGGGATCAGTTGCCAGGAGAGGTCCCAGAATAGAAAGCCAGAGATATGGGGTGGTGGTGGGAGATGGTGAGTGTAGCTGCATTAGAACCAACTTCTCCCTTTGCCTCCCCTCCCCACGCCACCGAATTCAGCCCAGAATTCACCCTGGAATGCCAGCTCTTTCTCCTGAGGTACAAGCTCTTTTAAAATGCAAAGGGTAATAGCTAACTTGCTACCAGCCATTTATACTGATGAGTGAAGACAATATCTAGGAGACCCCAGGAGTGCCATCCAAGGTGGAAAGCCCTGGACCTGTGTCCCTACTTTGCTTTGGCCCTAATGTCCTTTAAAGGGGCTCTCAGAGCCTGGCCAGTAAGGCTCAATGGTTGAGCACCAACCCGTGAACCAAAAGGTCCCCAATTTGATTCCCAGTTAGGACAAATGCTTGGGTTGCAGGCTCTATTCCCAGCAGGGGCATGAAGGTGACAGCTGATTGATGTTTCTCTCTAATCGATGTTTCTGTCTCTAGCCTTCTTCCTTCCTCTCTCTCTAGAAATCAATAAAAACATATTAAAGGGCGCTCAGAGCATCTTGGCTAAACTTTGCTCATTACAGGGATGGGCAGAAGTAGGTTTACGGTTGTTCATATGAGAAATAATATAACAATTAATAAATAATAATACAAGAATAAACTGTGTTTTGTGTACCGACAACAGTAAACGTACTTTTGCACCACCCCTGTCTGTGCACACACACACACACACACACACACACAACCTCAGGAAAGGAAAGGGCTTCCTGCTAGAAGCCCAGAGGCTATAAGGTGAGGGGCAGGATGTTACCACTCAGAATCCTGAGCCTAAGGGTTTTCTTCTCAGAAGAGGCTCAGCTTGCTGCATCTTAGGTAGAGAAGAGGGAGCCAAGGGTTATTGGAAATACTGACAATAAATTGGAGAGGAAAAGGCAGTTCTGAGAAGCGGTTTGTTTTCAAGTCTCAAAGCGACAGGTCCATGGTGTTTTTGGCTGAGGTGACTGGTGACATGATACAAGATCTCTTTGCCTTGTTAAAAATGACAGACATTTTCCTGTTTCTTTCTTACTGGTTTTACATAACTACAACAGATGGGTCTGGCGCAGAGTAGGTGCTCCATAGCAATGTGCTGAACAAAGAACTGGGGCTGGGTGCACTGTGCATTGGGGTCCTCTGCCTGGCCGGGCAGGCCTGGGAGTTTACTCTCCAGTCCAACTTGGAAAATCCTGGGGACCAGGTGGCCTGGGCACAGTGTCCATAGCAAGAACCATGGCTAGGGTTTGGGGTGGAGGAGCATTGTGCACTTGGAGATGAAATTCAGAATCTGATGGTTACATAATAGGAATCCGGGAACTGGCTAACGATCAGATGCAGCTGAACCACTCAATAAAGAAATTCTAACAGAAATCAGAATTGAAAAACATTAGAATTGTGAAGCAAAACATTAATCTGTTTTTATTTTTATTTATTTCAGTCCACTAGTCTAAGTCCCTCCCCAGCAACCAATTAGATTCTCTTAAAGAGATATATGAACTCTTTTCAAACCATGAAGCATATTAGTACAGCTGTGCCCTGAAGGTATTTTGGTCCCTGTTGAACCGAGAGTTACCTGAAGAACCTGAAGTAGCAGGAGAGAGAATAGAACGCAGAGAACAGGGAGGCTGTCCACAAGGGAAGATGAAGGGAAATTTGGGTCGTTTCGTTTAGATAAGAAAAGATAATAGCAACCTAACTCAGAACTTCAAGTGTACATAGGATGTATGCCACATCTTCATATTTTATGTCTGGGCCATTCTGAATATGATAAAGGCTTAAGGCATGAGAATTAAACATATGTCTATTTTCCTAGATATCTTTAAGAAGGAAGAACATAACCATCTTTCTAATTCTGATTCTAAAATTCTTTATAGTGCCAGTAGCCAGGTTTACAGACATGTTTCCTTCCAAAATGTTCATGGTAATTGTTAGTACCTTTGGAACTGAGAATGTTGTCTCTCTTCCCAAACTGTTATATGCAGTGCTTATAACAGGAAGGAAGGAAAGAAGGAAGGAAGGAAAGATGTAATTAGACCATTAAATCCTGGGCATACAATCACCTGGGAAGCTTTTATAAATACAGACTCCCAGGCCTCATTCCAGGAAATTTGGATTCAGTGACCCAAGTGAGAAGCCCTGTGATTTGTTCTTTCTAAAGAATGTTCCAAGGAATACTTTTGCATGGTCAGGCTCAAGAAAAATTGCTGTAAAAAAAAAATAGATCATAAAACAAAATCCCATTTTAATACCTAAACATTGCCAAGGGAAGTGAGAGGTAAATAGGGTTTATAAGAAAATCGATTTCATACAAACTGATAAATCAGGACAACCCTGGCCCTTGATTTTAGTGCTTTGACTCAAGGAAATTTGAAACCTGCTTTGGGACTCCTGTAGTTTGGACTAGAGTGTCTGTCTGGCATAGAGCTCAGGCTCTCTGTCATAGGCCCCACGGTGGAGGCAAGCTTCTATGTGAACTTGATTACAAACATCCTTGATTTACCAGGCTAAAAATTATACAGGTCAGGAAAGCTGGCTACTTTGCCACCATTTTTCAAAGACTTCTGGTTGACACTATGCCTTGAAGTGGTGACATCAGAGTGGTGGGAGAAGAAGGAGAGAACTGGTCATACTAATGGATAAATAGGTTGTCATTCTTCTGCACAACTTTTCTGGGGCAGAGTCAGGATGGTGTCGTCTATGGATTATATTCCTGGCTCTCTAGAGACCAGAAGTAAAATAGACTTAAAGGAAAGTCATAATTACTGAAAGCAACATCTATACACAGATTTCTTTAAAAATGTTTCTTTTGTGAAAAGTTGGAATGTCACGTCTTCTGTATGCCTTATTTCCCATTGAAGCACCATATTGAGAAAGCCCAAAAGATGGTTTCCAGTTTGGGCCTGTTGTCAACCATTGTCCACGCCATTGTGGTATGTGATAGGTCTTTTGGGGGGCCACACGTGAATCTCGGTATTGATGCTTTTGGAGATTCTACACAGTTGGATCCACACTAGCTCTGTCTACTTCACGTCTGCTCCAATCAACAAGGCCCATCTGCATTGTGATTTTCTCACTTAAGGCTCCTTTTCTCCTGTCATCAGGTTTTATTCAAGTGCTTGAGGTATAGTGTTGATAACTTTCTTTGATTAGTGAGAAATATTGGGTGATTTAGCTCCCTGCCCTGGAATTACCCCGGTAAAGTAGTAAATGAAAATGGAATGAGCTGTCTCAAAGCCAGGAAGTTAGTTCTAGCTTTGCAGAAAATTTGCTCAAAAACTGAGACAGGATGAGTGTCTTATTCTGTCTGCTATTCTCATCTCTTCAATGTGCGTTCTCTCAGGATCTTGCAGCTCTGGTATTCTGAAATCCTCTCATTGGAGAGGTTGGCTAGAACTCCCTTCTCTGGACAAATAGACCTGTGCAGAGAAAAATCACTCTGTGGAAGGAAATGGGTTTGAGGGCAGGCTAGACTGGGGGAAAGAGGGTAAGCTCTCAGGAAACCAAAGCCCCATCACAGAGGTGACTCTTTCATCTCAACAGCTGTCAGTTCTAAAATATGTCACATCAAATATTCATTGAATAAAATATTGAGGTCCTAGCTGCAAAGCCAGAGAGGGTAACTTTTTAAAAGAAAATTCAGTATGCAAGTGGGCTGGCACATTTCTGCTTCCAATTTAAGATTCTCTGAGTGCCTCCGTTGGTGTCTGATATAGACCAGAATTCACCTACTTTCCCACATTCTTGGGTCTCAGGGAAGAAGACTAGTCTAAATCAGGCCTAAGCTTGTGTGTGTTATATTATGGGATTTTGGCAACCAAGAAGACAGTCATTCACGAATAACTATTCTAGAAAAGGCAACCACAGAAATGCTCATTGGAATCGAAATGGACACTTGCTTAGGATGTAATGTGTTTTTCCTATTTGCCATTTTTAACTCCATGGTGCACTGTTTTTTTCTCAGCGGCGAGTGGAGCCTCCACATTGGCATTCCAACCTGTGCCCATCAGCCTGTGCCCCGCCCACACAGCCACATTCGGCATTCCAACTTTATTCTCCTTCCCTTTCTTTTTGTCTCACCAAAATAAAACTAGATATACTGGATGTTATCTTTATATACTAGATGACTAATATTTACTGGTCTCTTACTCTGTTCTGGGTAATAACCTAGCTTCCTGGCCCCCATTAATTCTTTAGTTTTCTCACTTCACCCTCTAGCACTCCTATGAAGTAGCAATGATTCATGATGATGCCCATAATACAGTTGGGAAAACTGAGGCTTAGGATGTAAAGCAACATGCTGCCTAAAACGGCCCTA